AAGTACAACGCTGCTAAGCGACAGAACCTCCTACTGATGCTCCCGTTCGTTACTATCACCGATTATTTGCACGAGCTACGCGCAGTAGCACAGCTCATGCGCCCGCTGGGTCCTAACGGCCTATTATATCTAGCTGCGGCGGTAAGCGATTTCTTTGTACCGGAAGAACGCATGTCGGAACACAAGATTCAAAGCACAGACGCCACAGACATGCTCGAGAAACAAGAACCGACGACAGTCACAAAGGAGCCTAGGGATTCGTCGAACCAAGAAGAGGAAGCGTTCGACAACTTTGACTCATCACCAGCCGTGCCGCGGAGCAAGCGTCTTATCGTCGACCTAGATCCTGTGCCTAAATTCCTCAAAAATCTCGTAGACGGCTGGGCGCCCGAGGGTATGATTGTCTCGTTCAAGCTAGAGACCAACCCAGCGATCCTCGTCCACAAGGCCAAGTACTCACTCGAGCGGTATCAGCACCACCTCGTTATCGGGAACCTGCTGTCGACGCGGAAGTGGGAGGTCGTCTTCGTAGCGCCCAACCAAGAGGATAAGTGGATTCGCGTCCCCATCAACCGGCGCAAGAAGACATTGAGCGGCGTCGAGGAATTGATCGGCGCATCAGACCAAAAGAGTGGAGAAAATAAGCCGTTAGATCCGGCGACGCTGCCGGAGGGCGAACCCGAAATGGAGATTGAAAGTTTGATCATACCTGCCGTCGAGGAGCTACACTCGAAGCACATCGGGTTAGCCGCTGAGAGGAACGGGCCTAAGTAATAGGTTATTCGTTCCAAGTGAGTTGCTTTATTAAATCATGGATGGCGTTTTGTGTATATATTCCCAATGTCGATGTTCCCGGTAGAATCCAGTGATTGTATTCCTCTCGCTATTATTTATATATATATAGCAAGAAGCGAATATTTTCCAAGACGCTGATAGCCACCTAAAATATGAGCTAGGCCATTTATATGCAGTTCAGACTGGCGTGATGTCGCGTAAAATCATATGGCAGTGGTATAGATACTACCCACTCTCCGATCATCAATACCATTGACAGCCTTCATAAGGACAGACAATTCTAGAAGCTACGAGTAAAGAAATTACAAACTAAGAACTTATACATATCTTCAACAATACAACTAATTTTCTAGGCACTTGACTACTTCATTCCTATCCTATGAATAGGTAGCTACCACCGATGAGAGGGACCCACGGTTTGAACGGTAACGAACAAGGCGCAAATCGTCACAAGAGTTGACTAGGTGATATGCAATTATGCCACCTGACTTGCTTAATATCACAAATAAATTCGACAGGTTTGAATAGAGTGAACAGGGCTGGTAGAAATCACGCGATTCGCTAGATATATAATCCATGTGATACTTATAAAGGGATTTGATCCAATTCGGGGCAAACTACGAGATAAAATATACCATTCTGGGCCTTTAAGACTGGAGGATCTTTTGGCTATGCTGCTTATACATACTACGTCCTTGATAGAAAGGGTTTGTCCTCCGTTTTCGGTAGCCTAATAATGACGTGAAAGAAATATACCGGATTTGAGAAAAGACTGGAGGTCGAGTTCAAGGGACGATATATTCTACCCAATGTTATGCGCTGATAACTTAACAAACTTTTAAGCACTTGAATCCACATAGAAATCCGCATGGAAATCCGCATGGAAACGTAGACAAAGCCATAATACACAACACCGCCGGACGCAGACTTTTAATGCTGCCTTCTTTGTGTCGCAATACGAACAAAAGTCCTGCTAAACTCGGGCAAGCTTTCCACCCCGCCATGTGCACCCGTAAGTTTCCTATTTTGTTGTTTTGAGAACATCACATAGCATCGTCATGGCGCAAGTAGCCGGACATCCGTGGAGCGCAGCCCTCAAAGATGTTGCTGAACGGCTACACGAAAAACTGCTTGAGGAGGATAAAGCAGTTAGTTTTAATAACGATTTCGATAAAGACAAAGTCGAGAGCATCATACACGAGTTGTTGAATAGCCTGGTACCCGACTTGGTTGAGTCGCGACTCAAAGCTCTGGAAGAATCTTTAAGAACCGCTGAAGATAATTACAAATTCATGGTAGTTGAGAATCAGAAAGCTGAAGAGGCCCTTAAGGCAGTGAACGCCGAATTGGATGGTGTTGAGGAGAAATATGACGGTATAATGACCAAAGTGAGAGAAGGGCACCAAAGGCAGTTAATAGAGGTTGAACATGAAGGTCTTGTTAAGGGTGAGGAAGTCGAGGATTTGAAAATACAGGTAAAGGATCTAAAGAGCGAGAATAGAAAGTTCCTAAAACGAAAAGAGAAAGAAGATTCCGAACTAGATAAAGAATTTAAAAGACTGGCCGAGGAAAAGAAGGCTGTCGACAAGGATCTCAAGCGAGCGAAGGAACTAATCCGGATAAAAGATCACGACTTGAAACAAGAAATGAACTGGGGGAAAACACAAAAAAATCTACACCAGCAAGCGGCGCAGCGGTTGAAAGGTTTAGAAAGATCCCTAAACATCGCCCTCAGGGAGCAGGGTCACGCTGAAGAAAGGGCTGCTGAATATGCCCAGAAAGAGAAACGTATCCGGAGCACGTTAGAAGAGAGAGAAAGAATAATAGCGACGCTCGAGACAAAAGTAGCCGAATTTACCAGACTCAGGAGCGGAAGTGTCAGGAGTATAAGGAGTGCGTCGGAGGCGTCCGAGAGGGGAACAGATAACCTAGGCAATGAACTCGAGGCCTCGGCAGCCAAAGAACGTATCGCGGAACTTGAAGAGCAAATTGTGGAACTGCACGGGGAATTGTCCGGTATACGAACAGAAGTCAAGCAGGCCCAAAAAGAGCGCGACAACCTCGAGGCACAGTTTAACCAGGCCCAAAAAGAACGCGACCACCTCGAGGCACAGTTCAACCAAGCCCAAAAAGAGCGCGACGACCTTGAGGAACAATTCAACCAAGCCCAAAAAGAGCGTGACGACCTCGAGGCACAGTTCAAGCAGGCCCAAAAAGAACGCGACCACCTCGAGGCACAGTTCAACCAAGCCCAAAAAGAACGCGACCACCTCGAGGCACAGTTTAACCAGGCCCAAAAAGAGCGTGACAACCTCGAAGCACAGTTCAAGCAGGCCCAAAAAGAGCGCGACGACCTCGAGGCACAATTCAACCAGGCCCAAAAAGAACGCGACCACCTTGAGGCACAATTCAACCAAGCCCAAAAAGAGCGTGACGACCTCGAGGCACAATTCAACCAGGCCCAAAAAGAGCGTGACAACCTCGAAGCACACTTCAAGCAGGCCCAAAAAGAGCGCGACGACCTCGAGGCACACTTCAAGAAGGCCAATACTAAGATCGATGAACTCAACAAGGAAGCCACTCGCCTCAGGCCGTTCGAGGACCAAGCAAATACCCTCGCAAAACGCGAGAGGGAGCTCCAATCCCAAGTCAAAGCCAAGGGGCACGAGCTCAAGAAGGTCGAGGACGAACTTAACAGGGCAAATGCTGAGATCAAGAGGCTTCAGCGAGGCCCTGGGAGCAAACCAACCACCCCGACGGTCGTCCCGGCAGCCGAACTTGACGCCGCAGTCAAGGAGTGCGAGAAAGAGAAAGCCGAACTCGGAAGGCATATCGAAAAACTCGAGCGAGAGCTCGAACAGGCGCTAGAAGACCTTAAGAAGAACCTACCAGCAGATGAGACTGACGAACTCCGCCGCCTCCTTGCTAAAGCAGAAGAAGATCTAAAGCAAGCAGAAGAAGATCTGGAACAAAAACCATCAGAAGACGACATCAACGAACTGCGTCGCCTTCTTGCCGAAGCACAAGAAAGACTCAAGAATAAGCCATCGGAAGACGAAATTAATGATCTGCGTCGCCTTCTTGCTGAAGCACAAGAAGATCTCAAGAATAGACCATCGAAAGACGAGATTGATGAACTCCGCGAACTCCTTGCTGATGCAGATGACGAACTGGACAAGCAGCTATCGGAAGACGAAATTAATGAACTACGCCGTCTCCTTGCCGAAGCACAAGAAAGTCTCAGGAATAAGCCATCGGAAGACGAGATCAATGAACTGCGCCGTCTCCTTGCTGAAGCACAAGAAGACCTCAAGAATAAACCATCGGAAGACGAGATCAACGAGTTGCGTCGCCTTCTTGCTGAAGCAAAAGAAGATCTCAAGAACAAACCATCAGAAGACGAGATTGATGAACTGCGCCGTCTCCTTGCTGAAGCAGAAGAAGATCTGAAGAAAAGGCCATCGGAAGACGACGTCAACGAACTTCGCCGCCTTCTTGCCGAAGCAGAAGAAAACCTAAAGAAGAACCCATCGTCAGACGAGACCGACGAACTTCGCCGGCTCCTCGCCCAAGCGGAAAAAGACCTCAAAGCCGAGCAAGAAGCCCGCGCCCAGCTGGAAGAAGCGCTGAGAAACTTCAAGAAAGAAGCACTCGCCAAAACCGCGGATCACGAGCGCGAAACGCGCGCCCTGATCGCCGAGCACGCAGCCCGCATCAAGAAGCTCGCCGCCGACTTCGCGGAGAAGCAGGGCAGCACCAACGACTTTAGCTCGGCCCTCGCCGCGTTCTGGGAGGAGCTAGCCGAGAGGATCGGCGCGCGAAGCCAAAAGATACAAGGCATGTTCGAGAGGGAGCTCGAGGTGAACCACAAGATGCGTGATCAGTACGCGGAACGCCTGGCCCGCATGAACGAGGATATCAGCCGCAACCCGAACGGCCCGGAGACGGCGCTCGCCAGGCGCCGCGTCGTCGGCGTCGAGCGCGAGATCGAGCGCATGAACGGCATCATCAACATCATCACCAAGGAGGTCGCCTGGTTCGAAGACGTGATCCCCGAATTCGCCGAGGGCGCACAACGCGCCCGCGACGTACAGGCGGCAGCCAGCCGGGCAGCCGCCGCAACCACCGCCGCCGCCGAAGCCGCCCGGACCGAAGCCGCCGCCGCCGCTGCTGCTGCCACCGCGCGCGCCGAAGCCGAAGCCGCTGCCCTGCGCGCCCAGGCTCGAGCCGCCATCGCGCGCGCGGAAGCCGAAACCCACGTCGCGACAGAGAAGCGAGTCGTGGCCGAAACCCGGCGCGCGATGTGGCGGGACGGATGGGAGGGACTGAGAGGGCTGTTCTGGCGCGACAGGTGGAACGTGGTGGCGATTGTGAACCTGGGCGTCCTGTTTTTGACGTGTTTGATGTGGCTGGCGCATGCGCGGGAGCTGGCGATTTGGAAGTCGGCGAATGCGCCGCTGCAGAGAGCTTTCTACGTCAATACGATGCAGCAGCCTGCACTTTGCTTCAGGCGGCCGTCGTGGGCTCTGCTGTGGGAGTTCATCATTGCGTTTTTGACGGGAAAGTTGTTCATGGGAAATGAAAGGGGGAGTTTACTATAAGGGGTTTGTGTTAGTAGTTGGAAGATTAGTCGGGATTAGGTACTTGTGATGTTAAAGAGTTAAACCGAGGCTCATTTGTTAAGTTAGAACTACGGGATGGACGGTGTATGAATGAGGTTTAATTTGATTTATTTCATCTTGCTATCTTCGGCGTAAAATACTTGATCCGGTTATATGTCACTTTTTAGAAGATAGGTATATCGTATTCTTTTGAATAGTGAAGATGTGAGCTGACAAATGAATCGTGTTTGGGCATAATATTGGAACTGATTTGGAATTTGGAATTAAGTCTCAAAATTAAAAAGAATCCACCCCATCGGCGAAGTTAATTTGTACAGTGCATATCGTGATTTATACTACGACTTAACCATACTTCACACTGTCGAGGGCATGATGTCAACTGTACGTCGGTGACCCTTATTAGTAACACCTAAGATTAATCACGAGTATTTGCATATATCTATATCTAGGTATGTACAAATGGTATCATATGGTTGAATTCCAAATACTCATTAATGCCTAGGTAATGTCACCAGTTTACTTCGTATAAGAATGAGTATTTATCAACCTCGGCTGAGGACATTAAAACCCACTCTCGGTTCAATTGCTATAAGTAAACCACCATCAAGACAAACATTCTTTGTCACACAAGTTCCACGACGTCACCAAGAGTTAATATCTAGAGGTTATCTAACAATAGCCAACACTAAACACAATAATACATTCCGCTTAAGCACTCATAAGATCCCATACCCACAAACGAGAATACAACCAGGACAAACACAACTCACACGTTCTCTCACCATGTCTTCCAAACTAGTCCCCTCCAACCCGAGCGAGGTAGCCGTCATCCGGAACATCACGCCTAACATCGTGACCGTCTCCGTACCATTCGCACGAGTCGGCATCTTCCGCATCGGCGGTCGCGGCACCATAAGTAAGCAAATCTCCAACTCCGGCTCCGAGCCTAAAATATCCTAACCAATCCCAGTACGCCTCACCTCCGGCACCCTAGCAGTCTACTCCCCCGTAGCCCTGACCCCCGAGACGCAAGCCAAAGTCGCCGAGCTAGGCGGCCGCGTCGGGTACATCATCGCGGGGGACATGGAGCACCACATATTCCTGTCCGAGTGGGCGCGCGCATATCCCGACGCCAAACTTCTCGGACCCAAGGGTCTGCAGGAGAAGCGCGAGAAAGTAAAGGACGACCCGCGCATCGGACACGAACCCTTTGCTTTCACGTGGGACGCGTCGAATAAGCGCGACGCCGCTGGCGTCAGCGACGAGTTCGCAGCAGACTTCGAGGTCGAGTTTGTAGACGCGCACCCGAACAAGGAAGTCGTGCTATTCTACAAGCCAGACCGCGCGCTAATACAAGCGGACTTGCTATTCAACCTCCCCGCCATCGAGCAGTACTCACGGGTTCCCGAGGCGGAGAAGAGTTCGCACGGCTTATTAAATCGGATGTTCGTATCTGTCAACAGCACGGCGGGGGAAGCAAAGGGGCTAAAGCGGGTCCTATGGTACATGCTCAGCAACGCGGGGGGAGATCGCGCGGGCTTCAACGAGAGCGTGCGGAGGATCGCCGCCTGGGAACCCGAAATCATTGTGCCGTGCCACGGGGAGACTGTGGAGAAGAATGGCGGGGAGCTGTTTAGGAAGGTGTTCGACTGGCATCTGCAAGGTCATAAGTGAGTGAGTGAGACTGCAGCTAAATGCTGGTGGCTGCTGATCACAGGAATTGCTGGTGAAACATGGCGGTTGGAGCTGAGTCGCCACTCTGGGGGTCTATAGTATATTGGCGTATGAGGTGAGATATGTTCAAGATAATACCAGTGTATGTATGAAGTATGTATGTATATTTGTTAAGATTGGGTAACCTAATGCGAATCATGTTCACGCGTAGAGATGAGTATTAGTATTAATATTGGTATGGTACCTGCATCACCCCTGAATCTCGACCCCGACGCGGACATATTCGAAGCTCATGGACTATCCAAATCTCCATCGTCATCCTAGCCGAGACACCATGTCATCATCGCTTACACAATACTTACCATGACGCGCTTACACAAGACCTCCGTCCCACCCACCACCCGTAGCACCAAACCTCCACCATCCCAGCGCCAATCCTCACGCGCGCACATATACACATACACATAATCCGTACATATACACATATATACCTTAACATAGCACATACCTTACCTTCGGTACACAGCTCACGTCACAACACATGTGAATCGCAAAACTCCGACCTGAGCCAGGTAGTCTAAGACAGCGCAGAGAAGAAGAAGAAGAAAAAAAGAAGCGATGGTGGAATCTCATTAGAACGACCCAAGTCATTTTCCCCCCGATCTCCTCCATCGAAAATTCCGTCCTGATCTGTCTGCCCAACCTAGTACATGCATGTATGTACGTATGTATGTTCACCCGTACAACCCAAAACGCCCATGACACCCAGCCCCGTACTATCGTAAGGAAGGATTTGAGACATTCGAGAACAGCTGCCCTGTTCGGAGCGCCGTCACCGCTGCGCGTGTCTCTGTGCAGTCCCTGTGCTCGGCTTCTATTACCCGTCGTCGACGCAGCGAAGAGAAGAGCACGGCTCAGCCATTGCTCTCTCTCTCCTGTTTTTCTCGAAGTTATTAGTTTTGTTTTTTTCCCCGTTGATCCCAGTTCTAGTCTGATGATTGGAAATTTCGTATTCGTTTCCGCCTATCGTAACACCGCGTCAAAGCGTCTTAATGTAGTTCGATCGATCTGATTCGCCTCGCTTCACTTCACTTCGAGGAGCTCTTGCTATGATCCATCGTCCGCTCGTGTCCGTGTTCTTCTGGACTCGAGTCGTCCTCGTCTGCGGCTTCGCTGTCATATGCGTAGTCGTTGGACGTTATCTTGAATAGGTCTTCCTTTGCCGGGTGGCCTTCGTTCAATACCTATTTTTTTTCAACCTCCAAGTTAGAAAATGGTCTAGACAGGGCATTGGATGGCTTAGATATGTGGATCAAAGACGTACTGTGCAGAGTTTACATCGCTGGCCGAAATGGGTGACTTTGTTCTGGCAATTGACCGATCCCTATTTCGGTTGTCAATGACGACGTTATTTTTCAACAAGAGAAAATATCGAGAACTACTAACATAGTAGTTTGCACAATAGCAATGCATTTTGATCGGTTTTTTATGTTCAATATTCCAGCACTAGATGAAGTTCGAGAAGTGTGTGTGTGTGTGTTGAAGTCAAGAGATGTGTATATGAAGAGCTAACTCGATGGATTCTAGAGTCGTCTAGGTGAAGTACTGTCTGTATTCAATATTCAATTACAACTTGAAAATGTTTAAGTAAAGTTAAGTTTCTGATATCTGGCATGTGAAGAAGAAGAAAACTTCTATGGAGCATAAAGCTTCTGACGTGGGAGAGAAGAAGCCCCTTCTTATAACCGGACAAGCTAACCGCGCGAGATAAGGTCACATATAATACCTAGATACTAGATGTATATAATAAGTAATAGATATCAGATAGATAGATAGCTAGGTAGCTAGCTAGTTAGTTCAAACCCCGGTGGCTCCGATCGTGATGGTTTGCCTCAGCTCTTCCCTAGAGAGTTGCACAACAGTACACTAACACGAGCTCTCCCCCCGATCCAAACGGACCCTGTCCCGTCGAAGTCAAAATCTGGGGGGCTTAGGGGCGTAGCTCCACCAGCTAGTCCTTTCCGGGTTTCTGGACGAGTCCATATTCCTCTTGCCCCTTCGTACTATGTACGCACGTTAGCGCGAAAGGCTCCGACAGCTCGGCACCTTATGTTAGGTACGCTTGCTTGCCAAGCTTGCTTTTCTATAACTATACGAGCGAGTGGCCATTGTTGTACTACTATTTACTTTATGCAAGGGCAGTGGGAGTGAGTAGCTTTAGGTACTGACGGTGTAGAAGAGCTAGGCCGATAACGCAGCCAAGCAGGCCTAGCTGGGAAAGCTGGTTATGTTGTACTATTAAGGACATATACGTGTATATGACTATATATATGACTATATATGTAGGTATATATTAGGTACTCATACTTATACGTAGGTGCATTCATATTCTACGGATTAGGCCTTTTCCCTCGCACGACCAGTTCGTCTCATCATTTATCTTCTGGAAAGAAATAACTCCCAGGAGGTAACCTATTCGACGGCTAGGCGCGAATGCCGCAAGCAACCGTTTCGTTCTGCCCGGTTTCACCACGCGAGCTCTCGGAGTATTTAGATTTAGCCCCGTATCGCCATCTCATACCGGCTCGTCGCACGATCAGCGCACGTACTCGAAGCACTTATACACACACACACACACACACACACACACACACACACACACACACACACACACACATATATATATATATATATACATATACACCTATATATATTTACATATATGTAACACGGTAAACACCAAACCAACTAATGAATTCTTGCTGGCAACTATTGCATTACTCGGTCTGGAAGGAAATTCCCCGAAAGATGTTCTAGAACACCGTAGCTTGCGATTTAGGAGGAGAAGTCTTCGGCCAACCTAACGATGATGTCAGGAGTAACATCGTACCATCGAATACAATGCCGCTCTAATATGTCAAGATAAGCTTCTATCCCCTTATATGCCGGGACGCCCCTCCAAGTAGTCATCAGAGTAGTAGGCACGGCAGAAAACTCAGATAAGTAGACCCAATGCGGCGGTTGCAATCGAAAGGCAGAGTTTCAACGGCTCTTCTATAAGTAGGTATATGTGTAGGTAGCTATACATGCATTACTTACTTACATCAAGTGCATACATACCTAATACACACACGTACCTGGCCTATACCTACAAGTCCAGCGATTCCCGCGTTGCATCGTACCTATTGCAACCCATCGACCTAATTTAGCATAATCTTCAAAAATCATATATCTCCTGCACCACGATTCTAGACCCAGATCTTGGACGACGGGTGAGAAGCACCGGAGCGACACAACATCGATATCAGACAACGTACGAGGCTCTCCAGATCAGAAAAACTTAAATCTCATCTCTGTAATACCTACGGTATAGGTAAGTCGAAGAGGAGGTATGTAGACAGATACCTAATAGATTGCGAAACTAACTAGTACACTACTACTGCCGCATACCGGCCGGATGAGGGAATGCCTGCGGTGCCGGCTTGCGTTACCGAGGCGAAAGACAGTTTTGACTCGGTGAGACGCGTGTATGCCACCATACCACCAAACCACCAACCATCCAAGCATGTGAAGCAAAGCCCAAAACACTAATCCACAAAAATTCGTGTCTCACCCCGTCACTACGTACATATCTCTTACAGTATATCAGCGGTAAAGAGATAATAATAAAATAAGTTATGGGTATCCATCCCTTAACCTTCTGCTAAACCTTAAGACTTGAACCTCGTCAAGCTTAAGCTCAAGATCGACGTTTCTATAGCGTGATCCTCGGAACTCGCCTCCCGTAGACCAACATCATCGTCGGGCCTCTGCCGCTTGAACTACCTACCTATATATGAAATACTAGACACCTACCTATCTTAGCCCGCCGTTCCCGGCAGATAGTTTCTAGTCCAGTCTCCGGTGGCCTGGTTGGCACTCGAGTCAGGAAATCAACTAGACCAATTTCGATTTCGAGTCCGTGGATAAACATTCCCTAGGCACACCTCTCGGATAGGGAGCAAGACATAGTTGGACAATTAAGAAACCCCAGTTAGTCAGTAGGCCAAAGCAAGGAATCCAGCCTTGCAAGCTTTACACTTAGGTAGGACCAAACACGAACAACTCCGCGAGCACAGATCTAGAACACGAGCGAAAGAGGTAGTAGCACCGTCTTCCTAAGCCTTGGGGTTGGGTCCATAGTCTTCGAGTCTTGTTGTGATTACGGTAGGGATTTCCTACTAGGTAGTTTCTAGGCACATCCTCCCTCTCCCTCTCCCTTCACAATCCTAGGCGAACGTCCCGAGTCGCCTCTTCTGTCTTTCCTCCTCTTTCTTTCTTATGTTACGACAAGCTGCTCGCTATTACTTGTCGTAACTTCAACTTCACCTAACGCAGCGCAGACTGTGGCATATAACGAGCCCCCCCTTCCGGATTCTTCTTCACCTCTAAGTACAAGTTAGAGAGTTAGTTGCTAAGGGCCCCAGCAAAATCCAAAGTCCGCAGCCGACCTGTAATCCGGAAGCTTAAGGCACAATTAAAAACTATTTCCTCGCTACTGAAGACATTCTCAAAAATGAGGTAGAAAGGAAAATGAAATATGCTGGCCAGATAGACGAGACAAACCCCCGGCCGCATATATGAATTCGCATGCTTATCCAGTATCCCCTGGTCCTACACGGTCCGGGCCGAGCTGAAACCCCAAATGATCAGATGAGAGCTAGGCATGGCTTACGAGCAGGCATTTCGCCTGCTTTAAGGTCTTGATTAATAGGTATAGTACGGAAACAGAGATCAAGGCGCGAGCATCTCAGACTTCCGATTATTTTTCCAGAAGTCGAGAGCCGCGACCACGTCGCCGCCGGCTTCATCTTCGTAGGCGAACAGGATCTACATAGGAGTTAGTAATTTCGTACCTCATTAAACTAACCCAGTTGTAACTCACCTCATGTGTACTACTGTGTAGCATCCGGATGTTCTTATGTGGGACGATATGGACCGCTCCACTTTCAATGTTCCTGAGCTCAATGAAATTTGGTTCGAACGCCAAAATCCACGGGTAAGATAGTGCGAATGCTTGTGGCGTTCCCTCCCAATCAATACGCCATTCCGGTCTCGCTCTCCAACCGTTCCGGTTGACGAAGAACGAGAACTCAGAGTAGTTGAGAAGGAATTCTCCGTTGAGCCGTTCTATATGGATCGGTTTCACACCTTCCTTCCTTGCGACGAAGTCCAGCGACGTATCGGCCTGGTCTAGCAACGACTGCGTTTCAAGCGTTTCGAGAGAGACGACTTCGAACCCTCTCGCGCATGCCACGCAGAGCTTACTCTTTAGGAAATGAACCGAAGACGATTCTGTTGGGATGTAAAACTCCTTAAACGCCTTCAACTCATCCTGACCGGCGTTGAACATCTTGCCGAACCCCTTCTGCTTCTTGCCCTTACTCATCGAGTCATTTGGCTCGTACACCTTGATCGTAGTCGAAAGTGCACTAGACTTGACGCAACAGACCAGATGCCTACCTAGACAGATACCTGTTTTGAAGAAATTACAGTTGCTTTGGATCTTCTTAGGCCTCTTCGCAAGTGCTGGCTCGTTAGGATCCAACGCTGCGAGCGAGTATGACGATAATGTCTTGTTCGATAAGACTAGTAAGAGACCATACTCTTCTAATACATCAACCTGCGTGACGTGCTGCGCTTCGATGACACGCTTAGGCACCTGGTCTTTAGCCTTACGATCAGCCACGTAGATGCCATGATCAGTGCCGATGATTAGTTTACGACCACCATCTGTTAGTCTAGTTAGCAAAGGTCAAACATCCGGCGTATCATGCACTCCTTACCGAAAGGCGTCACAGCGTTGACAAGGTTGCCAGCTTGGAAGAAATTGGAAGAGAGGGTGTTAACGTTGAAGAAGTCGGCTCGTGCTCGGAGACGCTGTTGAGCTGAGTCGATGAACTCGAGCCACTTTTTCCTGGCTGTCTGATTCGATGCGTACAAAACTTGCTCGTAGTAATTTTTGCCTAGATGTCGGAAGGTGATAGGCCAACCTTCCGTAGACTTCTTATCGGAATCTTTGCCGCGGAAAGGTAAATTCGAGGACGCTCGTTTTATTCCCGCCTGAGGAATGACTTCGTCCATCTCTTTAATGGAGAGTAGCTCTAGCGGGATTGGCTAGATGGTTAAGATTAGCCACTAAATTCTGACACATTAGAGATAGCCAATTACTTACTCTCCTATAGGCTTTCACTTCTTCGCCCTTGCCAACTTGCTTTATCCGCACCAGGAGAACAGCATGGTCGAACAAGAAAGCCGTGATATCCGTAGGATCTGTAGGTGACTTTTTGAACTGGGTCTTGAATACTAGTTCGCGGCCGTCTTCTGTCAACTTAAGGTCGACACGATCAGCAGGGCGGAACTTCAGTTGCTCGTGTAGGCGGCGTAGGTTAAACCGGTTTTCAGCTTTACCAGACTCGGCATTGACTCTGCTC